GAACGGCGAATCTGAATCGTTTTGAATTGGCGCATTTTTTTGCGACGTTAATATGAAGAAAAATGGCGAAAGACAGCTTGATGGCCAGGGTTTTCGGCTTAGAGCTGCAGGATTGTGTACACGTCGGCAAGGATCTCGTATGCAGATTCTTCTTGTCTCTGGTACTAAGGTAGTTCTTCCACTGAAATGTTTGGTTTTAACATCTTCGCAGTGAAAATCTAAGGGTTTTTCTTCATCTTTTTTTTTTTTTTCTAAGACAAATGATGAAATTAAAGGCCGATGGTACGTTTGAATGCTCTTATGCATGCAGTGGTGACCATTTCTTGGAAGCGGTTTCTGATGTCACGGTTTTGAAATTTTTTCCGACATTTTCTGGAATTTTATAAGTGCTCAGTTAGATTATACCCTTCAGACTTATTGTGTTAGGTATAGTTTTGAGTTCTTTGTTTGTTGCAGAGGGATGTGAAGTTTATCATTAAAAAAAGAAGTGTCAAAATTACGACCAAAAGTCAGCATGGTCAAGGCATCAGCTGCTTTGCTCTTCCATCTTTGATTATTTTCGCGTTCCATAAGGCATTGATATTTGAAAGCTCATTGCTTCGATTCTTTTGAACACTTCATCTCGACTAAGGTTGTTCTCACATATGCTGAAATCGAGAACTTTCAAGTAATAAATTGCTTATTGAGTCTACGTGTTCGGAAAAAAATTGGTTATTTTTTTGTTGAGTTAGATGGTGGTTAGCTTATTGCAAACTTTCTTCAAGAATAAAAATTTCGATGGACATGTGGTCGCGGCTAGAAAGTTGTTGCCGTTAGGTTATTCCAGTTTTCTAAGGCCGCACGGTTATTCTTTAGCTCTCCGCACGATTTTTTTAGTTGCTATGGTGTAGTTTGTAATATTGTAATGTGAAAGTTGTCTAATCAAGGTTGGAGAGCTGGAGGCGTTTGTAGTTGTATTTTGGTTTCTGCTTCCCAAATTTGAAAACATTGATCTAAAATTTTGATAGCTTGGACAAAAGATATTCATATGGAGAGCATTTGTTTTGGAACATGTTTGCCCTTAACTTCGCATCCGTCACAACTTTTAAATTTTTTACGTTTGCCCAGAAAAATTTTTTTGTGGGCAATGGTTCTAAGCCATATATGTCAGAGAGTGCAAAGAGCCCATCAGCAGTAAAGAACTTTGAAACTGAGGAACTAATGACTGCTTGAGTAAATAATTGGTCTCTTAGCTTTCTTCCACTCCTCCTCTGACTCTGTGAGCTTAAAAATGCGCTTTGCAAGAGATGAGGCCTTCAGCAGTGCAGATTTGATCCAGTTAAATCCTGCAGTCCAGTGGGACACTTCATTAAGTAATGAATGAGTAGCAAGTTCTCAGTATTGTTTGTATGAAAGTGAAGTGAGTTGTGTGTTTTGGGACGTCTACTTTTACTTGCTAGTTAAGATAATGGATTTTAGGACGAACGTCGTTGGGTTATACCAGGTGGAGGGATAGAACTGAACGAGGACGAACAAGCCGCTGCTTTACGTGAAGTGCTTGAAGAGGCCGGTGTTGTGGGGAAGGTTGTAGAACGGGTTGGAGAGTTTAGGGTTAGTTTTACTGCTTAAATGGAACATGTTCATTCGTTTATGGTAGCGAAGTGATTGAACTTAGCTTTGTAGGATGAAGAACGACGACACCGCACAGCCGTATTTATTCTTAGCGTAACTGAAGAGTTAAGAGAGTGGGAAGATGGATTCTCTGGCCGAAAGCGGCAGTGGATGACTATAGAAGAAGGCATAAAGCGGGTAAAAGCTTCACAAATTTGCATTCTAAAGCACATACTGAACCTCTCCAATCAATATACTTTGACAAAGTCTATAGCATAATATTTATATGTTTCTTTGAATGATATATTGTTTTTATTGTACATTGCGTTTCATTATGAGCTCTGTGAATGATAAACAACAACTGCTGTAGAGTTTTTGGAGTGTTTTATATTGTCTGAATTGTTCTTATTACTAAAGGCTCTTTCATAAAGTGTCTGTTGCTGCCGGGTTACCGTTTCGGGATTTAGTAAGGAGAGTACAGTAGACTTTCTGCTTGTCTCGTAGGAAAGATCTGACTTCATGTGCTCTTTATTTTGTTGCAGAAACGTGTCTATTACCTCACAAAGTGTTTATCTTCATTTATGAAGTTTGGGCTGAAAGCAAGACTTCATCAAAGATTCTTTTTTGTTTTGAAGGCTGAGTTCCTTCCGTTATCTATTCTTTTGGTTTTTGCGGCAAATAAATTTTACGTATTGTGCAGCAGTGACAGGCATCTTGAAAAATCAAGTTTTAATCCGAGAGCCTCAACTTTCAGTGCTTTCTCCTCTTGCTTTTGTAAAGCGAGCAATCTTGAATTTGCTATGTAGATAAGTGATC